GGTTGGCATGGCCTTATGTTGCCTATAAGCTGATAAGAGCCAAACAGAGGGGATAGCTATATGAATTCTTGTAATACCCCCCCCCCCCCCATCCTTCTCTCTCTCCCTCTGTCTCTTGCTCACTCGCTCGCTGTCTCTCCCTCTCCCTCTGTGCGTCCAGCAGCCTGCCTGCTTCCAGCCTGTCTGGTGCCAAGACTCAGATTTCAGAATTTCCTTCTACAAGCCACATTTAGAGCAGCCAGCGTACTCTCTCCGTGTGTGTGTGTGTGTGTGTGTGTGTGTGTGTGTGTGTGTGTGTGCGCGTGTGTGGGGGTGTGCATGCGTGCGTGCGTGGGTGTGTGTGCTACTTTCTCCTCTCACTGTCTGCCTATCTGACTCCCACCACCCTGTTTTCTGCGAGCACTGTCCTTCTGGTGCCGCTCTTTGCCTTTTCTTCATCTTTCTCTCTCTCTCTCTCTCTCTCTCTCTCTCTCTCTCTCTCTCTCTCTATCCATAAAACCGAGCTCCACTTCTTTGTTTATTTTGTGGGACTTAAACCATGCAGACAAACGATACAATACATGCCAGCTAATATAAATGGTCATTTGTGCCTGTATGTAATAAACACGATTAGACACACACCAACATACAACAGGGATGATATGTGTTCTCGTGGCAGTAAACTAGCCACTGGTGAGAAGTTTGGTATGAGGAGGGGAATCCTGTCAGCACACAGCTGACCTATAGTAAGAGACCTTTTGACACACTGTGATGGAATAGCATAGGATGGAGTTGGGTGAGGAGATGGAGCAGAGGCAAGAGTAAAAGGAGAAAGGTGGTATTAAAACTAGTTTTGGCCAAGAGCATTGATGTAAAAGGTTTCTTCTACACAACTCCAAGCCTTGAAGCTTTTTGGGACAAACGTAGTTGTACAAATATGGTTGCATTGTGTGCTTTAGTTACTTTAACATAAATGTATTGTCGTGCCTCACTATCAAAATATCTTAATGTGTGCTGCCGTTGCTAATTTGTTCAGCAGTCCACGTAATGTCTTTCTCTGGCACCTACATGCTGATATACCGTACATACACACACATAAACACATGCCTGTAGGTATCCCACTATGCGACACAACGTGCTTTAGTGTGGGTGGGTGTTGCAAAGACATTTTCCATTGTTTAGAATAAAGTTATCTATATTTGTAGAAGCTCTGGCCAAGAACATATTTTCGGCTCCCATTCAAGTTCCCATTTGCCTGAACCATTTCTGCATTACCGTGTAGGGCTGAACAATGAACTGATTTAAAATAGTGATTCAGTTTTAAGTTATAAACCCGACAAACACAATTAAGCTGACAGAATGGGCTAGGTGTCTAAGGCCTGTGGATGATTTCATTGCTAGCTCACCAAGATAAGTATTTTGGGAATCAAATCTTATTGGCAGTTGAATCAGACGTGTGTGTGTGTGTGTGTGTGTGTGGTCACCCCCGTACTGTTGACAACAGGTTGGAAGGATTCATTGTTTCTTGATTGTGTAATTTATATGTTGCAACATAAACTGTGAGCCGTCAGACTAAGCAACATTTTCCACTCCGCTGTCAGTTTGCAGATTTGCTTTGAAGGTTTCTGAGATTTCCCTCTGCACACAACTGTTATGAGCTGTTATGTGCATACTTGCGGCTGCTTTTTAGCTCACACAAAAATCTCGGAAATTCTGCAAGCTGGGAATCAACTTTTTTTCTTCTTCTTTTTTTTTACATTTTCTTAAGTCACAGGTTTTTCCCATCTTGAATTTAAGGCAGTAATTGTCTGGACTCTGTCTGCAGATTTTATATGTAGTCTTTGTTTACATGTGACTCACTGTCTGGAGGACTAAGCTGTTTGTGTAAACATGCCGATACAACTAATAAAGGGAATGCTGTGTGTGTATGCGTGTTTGCAGTTTGGGGGTGTTGATTGTTTGTCGGTACTGATGCAGTCTCACTGCAGACTGGGTTTATTTGATGTGGGATTGATCGGGGGCCAAACATGAAGCCTGGCTTTTGGAAGAGACTTTGGTTTCCCAGAACAACTGCTTCCTGTTTCCCAAACCTGGTAAAAGTGTAGGAAATTGTGTGGCATAGATTTAGTGTGTGTGTGTGAGAGAGATATCTTGGAGCTTTTGAATCTCTAGTCATTTATTCAGGTTATTGTAACAGCGGTAGACCCTATTTTTGATACTAGCATTGTTTTCAGCAATAGCTATTCAATGTATTTGCGTTCTACAATTACCTCTCTATTTAGTATTATTAATCATAAGTGGCGGAGTCCGCCATTCCTGTGCTGGATTCAAATTGCCTACCTAAACACGAGGGATTCACAGGAATCCAGCATTGCCATTTGCACTCTTCCTAAACGCTGCATGAGAGCTGTATGCTAACCGAACATTTCCTATTAATGCTAGTTCACATTTAAAGCACTCACAAGCGAAACTTTGGGTGGCTTTTATTGTGAACAGTCACAGGAAACTCGGACTGATTTGTCCCTGAGGTTGAGCTCTAACCATGGATGTTCATTAAATATGTGTCTACAAGACATGGTCATTGTCAGCATTTATTGACAGCAGATGACTGCAATTATGGCTGCCAGGGCCACTGATTAGATAAGGTGTCAAAAGAATGCCGTTATCATAAGGGCCATCAAGTATGGATAGATGTGTGGCTGTAAATCAGTGTTAAAATCTTAAAACACTTTGTCTTGCTTTTTCTCTCTTTCTTTTGTGTAATTATTGTCTCACGTGTAGGATGCAGCATCTCTTTGAGAGTAAAGACACACACGCGCCCTACACCACGTTACACGCTCCCTAATGTCGTCACGGAGTGATAGGGCACCATCCTGCCGACAGAAAAAAAGTTGCCTGTTCCATCTCAGGCAAATAACAATAAGCCCGGGGCTGGATTCCAATGGGCTTTCTCTTTGAAATGGGATACCAACACGCGTTACAAATATATCTCTTGTTTTATCTTCCGGGCCAGGCCCATGGAAAAATGATTCCAAATACCTGCCGCGCTTTATCTGGAACCCTGGAATAGGTTAGGCCCAGCCGGGAACACGAGGATGTCTAAAATAAGGCCTCTATTACGGGATGGAGTGGGGATGGATGGGACGGAGCGGGAAGGGACGGGGATCGTGGGTATTTTAGGTGTATAGGCCCTGTGAAAAAGGGCTTGTTGCGGGGGCTTGGAGCTGCTTTAAAGTCTACTATGTTGGCCGCCGTCAGCTGTTGTACGAACTGCATGTGTTGGGGGAGGGATTTTGTGTGTGTGTGGGGGGGGGGCTCACACGTCCATAGCGGAGCATGAGTATAAATACAATTTTTCCTACAGATGTTCTCACCTTGACAAATCTGTTGTTGGCCTTAGTGCTACTTCCTGGCAAATGGCCTGATGGACCAACGTAACTCAAGCTTTATTTACTCTCCTCCACCTCTCGCTGCCCGTTGCTTTTTAAGAACATTTACATCTGCGGTATTAAACCGATGATGTTTTCCAGAGACTGATAACAAGCAAGCATTTTCCAAGGACTGGAGCGGGAAACGTGGCTCGAGACAAACATGTTGACTGCTGTAGGCATTCACATCGTGATCTTTTTGTAACTGAAAAGTATTTTTAGGTCGGCTAAAAGATGTCTCAGCTCCCATCCAAATCGAATATCTTCTTTTTCTAATTATTTTGGAACATTAATGTCTCAAAAATTGTTATATAACCTACTTACTCAACCAGTTAATGACTTTCAGTTCCCATCGAAATCTTTTTATTTTTCAAGAACTGGTATCATAATTAATTAAGTATGGCTGTTTCAAGTGGGTTTGTGATGCTAGAATGGAAGATCAGAAAGATTATTCTATTGTCAAACTGTAATGAATAGATGATTCAGAGTAGAATCAAGGTAAGAAGAGAGCCATTAGTGTGGGGGGGGGACAGAATGTGGGAGATGATGGGAGGTATATGAGAGGCAACAAGTAGATAAGGGGAATGAGTGAAAGGTCAAGAGCCAAGGGAAGGAACAGAGCAATGAAACAGAGAGGGCAAGAGATGATAGGAAGGGAAACGAGTTCCTAAGATGTTAGGAGATGAGAGAGAAAAGGAAGGTGTTGAAAGAATTAATTTATCTCTCTGGTGTGTTCGTTGGGACCTGTCACGGAGTCTGTCACCATCGCCTGTAGAGTCCTGCTGATATTTCCTTCAGCAGTCGAGGGTGTGTGAACGCCACGTACCAGACTCACCCTAGACACTCACTGTCATCTACATAGTTCCCATGGCAGAATGGAGAGGGGCGGCATAGTCGTCATACCAGAGAAGCCAAGACACCAGTGGCAAGAGATACTGATCTTTTGAAGCAAATCAGAAAGATGTGACATTACTGAGCAGCGCCGGCAAACCGGCTACCAGGCTGGCATCACCAGTGCAGCTTGACTCATATGGCATCTGTGACTGAGAACTGATAATGCCAGCATGGTGCCCATCTGGCAGATCAGTGTAATGTATCACCATGCCGTAGATCAGTGGTTCTCAGCCAGGTGTTTGAACCACCTTCCCAGGAACTATGTAAAGGTTTTTGTCTCTGATAATCAAAATAGCTATAAAAAAAAGGCAAAATAAGTCTTTGGTCAGCTGTTGACAGTGGGCATTTCATTGCTTTAAATTGTCACAGTCCAAAAATATGGACAGGCACTGCCATACATATTGTTATATCAACACTAGGCATTAAATGTGTTTCCACAATTGATATGCAGAGCTGATATATGGTAGAGTGTGAGTCACCGATGCCGTGGCGCTGAAACCACTATTGCCATTGTCGTTTTCCAGAGCCAGAATCTAAACCTTAGCATGTGTCTGTGAGTGCAGTGAGATTCTCTAGGGGTGTAAGCTCTTTGGATTGGAGAAGTACTGTGTCCCATGTTCTGTGTAAAATGCCATAGTCTGCTCTTTTCTCTCGCTTGCAGTATCCCTCCTGTCTCTCACCCATCCATCTCTCCTCCAGGGCTGACTCTGCCAAGATGACGCAGCCCATGAGGGCCGAGCAGGCCCACCAGCCGGCCCCAACCCGCAAGTCGGCCAGCCTGTCCTCGCCAAGCGCGGCTCGCCGCCTATACCGCAACTTGTCTGGAAAGTTCCGTGTGGGCACCAACCCCCCTGCCCTGGAGGACAGTGTGGTGTCAGGACGGGGAGGAGACAAGGAGAGGCTGCGCAAAACCACCATAGTAAGTCAGGGAGAGACGGGGAAGGAAAAAATAATAAGCCCAGGAATATTGTAGTCTAAAAATATCCTGAGGAAACATATAGACTTGGAAAGTAAGAGAGCCTCAGGTAGTAGCATCACGCACCCACCCATCTCACTATTGTAGAGCAAGACAGAAAAAGGCATCAGAACTTAAGCTTCTTTTTTTAAACTTCTCTTTCTTTGTGTTACAGTTCCAGAGTAACGAAGCGTTGTTTGAGGCAGTGGAGCACCAGGAGTTGGACCTGGTGCAGCTGCTTCTGTCCCAGTACAGTCTGGAAGAGCTGGACCACAACACCCCAAACAGTGAGGGCCTCCTGCCGCTCGATATCGCTATCATGACCAACAACGTGCCCATGGCCAATCTGCTACTGCGAGCTGGTGCGAAGGAGAGCCCCCACTGTGAGTAGAGGAGCGCGACGTATACCTGTAGCACCAACACAGTCACATGGGGGGGGGATCATTTCAATGTTAATGGGAGAAATCTAAACTACAGAGCCTGTGACGTACTCCGTTTAGTTCACTTGCTGCGTAGTTGCATCTGATGTGGCAATCACGTAGAGAGTAGCACGCACTGTAGTGTCATGTCACTATAATGTGTTGCAAATTATAATTCTTTTAATTTTACTGCAAATCACAAACACCCACTTTGCTGGAGTGTGCTCACTTTCTGTGACTGATTGAAAGGGAGGTCGACAAAGTTGCCTAATGCTACTATTAAAGCCTGTTGTTACAGTCTGTACGCACAAAGATAATTAGAACATTCAATTGATTCAAGTAGCTCAATTCATTTTGTTTCTGTAAAAAAATATCCAACATCTCAGGGGTTGCCACGATGTCTCTAACAAGAGCAACGTTTCAGTATTTAATCGTATTTCTCCTTGTGAAGTCTGACAGCTCTTTAGTTTGAAGTCTGGCTGGTCTTCACATGAATCATACCATAGCAAATGCTACCTTGGCTTTGAGCAGGAAGCATGTCGATTTGCCCGATGCTTTCACCGATCAAATCGTGTGTGATATATGGAAAAGCCAAAAGTAGTTGTCAAGTTATGACGCCAGTGAGGCCCCAAAACCACATCTGTCACTTACCGACGGATCAGTCATCATTCTTTTCCTATTTAGATTTCAATCTTTAGCACGGCTCAGAACTGATACCAGACGGAGTTTGTTCGGGGCGTCAACGGCCTCTCGACGGGATTCAACTGTCAATGTGGACGTCAAAGCCGCTGCCACGGCAACATCAGCTGCTTTCCGAAAAGCAACCGCAGGTGTTGCCCGAAGCAACGATGCACACACACAGCTAATAGCACAATCTCTCTTCGTGCATACCAGGAACACAGTCATCCGCATGCTACAGACCAAACACACACACACATACACTCTCTCTCTCTCTCTCTCTTTCTGTTGTGTGCTGGCAGAGAAAACATATTAAATGCGATGAAGGGGTGGTAACCATGATGCAATATTAGTCATCTTCATAAGCACTGTCTGTGATCCGCTGAGCCCCGCTCCCTTCCTCTGTTAATGATTAGAACTCGCCAGTGAGGCTCCTCGGCTGTTTGTGTTTGTACTTGCGCACACACACACACACACACACGCACACGCACGCACACACACACACATACTTCTCCAGAGCTGAGCCAGGCGTCTTATAAAGGTATCATTAAATTGAAAACACTTGAATGGAAAGTGATGTTTACTGAAGTTTACTCTTTGATTGTGCTCTCTCTCCAGAACTCAAATAGCTCATGAGAGAAAGTGAGTTGTGTGTGTGTGTGTGTGTGCGTGTGTGTGTGTGTGTGTGTGTGTGTGTGTGTGTTTGTGTGTGTGTGTGTGTGTGTGTGTGTGTGTACAAAGGACTGAAACACAAAGAAAGAGAGAGAACAACAGCACATAAGGAAAGTAAAGGCTTCTATTTTCATAAGCACCTACTAATCAAACTCCATCTGAGGAGAGTTGACATCAAAGTCGCTGCAGATCCCTTCCATGAGCTTTGAAAAGGATTGACTCTGATGCTTATTGATATTGACAGGCTTGACTACACAGCGTGTGGTTACCAGAGAGACAAAGGCAGATGAAGACTATCAAACAAATTCTCCAAAGCAACTTCATATTCGCATTATAAAATCCCTCGTTGGCTTTTCAATAGGACAAAGGCACTTTAATGTGCCGTAGAGGGTCTCAGCCTCCATGTGAAATAAGGACAAATCAAGACACACGTACACACTTGTGACAGCATCTGGACCAGTTTCCAGCCCTGGAAGGCCTGGAAATGTAAATCAAAATGGACCTTTAGCAGATATTTCCATCCGTCCCGGAGTATAAATGCAACTTAAGTCCTAACCCTAACCCCCCCGAGCATGGCATTACCTGTTTCAAAAGTGACAGACAGCCTCTAAGTCTTCACACAAGTGGCTGAAGAGAACAACAAAACTGACACCCAGAAGAGACGCCCGGATTCAAAGAGAAGCTCACAGCCACTGAGGAGACACCGAGAGAGCCGCAGAATTAAACACCCAGATGGACATTTTGACACGGGGCTTTAAACTTACTGTCAACAGTGGAATCTAACGCTCAACAGTGGAATCTACAACGAACAAACACAGACCACACAGACTAAACACAGACACACACCAGTCCCAAACACTCCCAGACTGACCAGCCACCAAAGAAGTACAGTACAGTGTGCTACTGTCCTTTTTCACCTTAACAGCTTTACATTTACCTGATCTATACTTTTATTCGAAGGGATCTGTCCGCGTTATGCCACCACCAGCCACTATCACTAACCACACAGTCATGCTTTGGATAATTCCACTCATTTTCATAAAATAACTTCAGTTAAAGGATTATGTGAGATCAATTGAAACTAACTTTGTTTTTAGAGGTTTTGTTGAAGTAAACATCATTGTTCACATTTTAGTAACACCCAACCCGCTCTCAGAAAAACATTCCTCTGATGGAGACTGCGTGAGGCTGTGGCATATGATATAAATAGATGACTTATACACATTTCTTTCCACAAGCTTTGCAGAAAAATACTTTTACAATGGCAGTTTAAAGTGATGCTTATGCACGTTCCCACCATTTTGCGTTCCCTTATAACCGCAGAAGAAGAATACTCCTCCCTCTCTTGTCCCTCTCACTTTCATTGCCGCATTTTGTGTCATTTTCTCGGTGATGTCATCCCTAAAGAGGGACTGCTTAGTTAAAACGAAGTTTATTGAGGAATTTGCCAGCATTTTGGCAAACAAAGACATTAAAAAGAGTTCCCGCAAAAGCAATTTCAGTTGCTTTTGTAGGCCACTTTTGCAGGCCACTGCAATATCGGCATAGCCATGTGCACTTGATCAAAGTAAAACCAACACAATATTTACTTCTCTAATTATGCTAGTAAATGATTTTGTGATGACCACATGTTTTGTTCCTGAAAACATCCACAATGGTGTAGTGCAAACTACAAACTTGTGCAAACATAACACGACAAAAAAAGTGATGTTTTTCACTATCGTCGATTCACAGTATTTTGCATTTACGCTTTGAATCTTGGTTGAAAAAAACAGCCCACTCAAATGTATAATCCACCATTGCTTAGCTTTGAGCTGCTTTTACCGACTGTCTTCTTCATGTGTGAATATAAAAGCATTTTTTTGGGGATTTTCAAAGTAGATTTGAATTATTGGAGTCACACGTGCCTCAGGGTGATGAAACTCTCCATTTAACACAGTATGCATGTGTTGACTGTTCTCTCTCTCTCACTGTCTCTCACACGCGTTTCTCAGTCGTGAGTCTGGAGGGCCGAGCAGTGCATTTGGCCACCTTGGTGCAGGAGGCTGAGCAGCGGGTTTCGGAGCTTCAGGCCCAGGTTCGGAGCGAGGGTCCTGGTGAGCGGGAGGGCTCTGACCGGGAGAGGCAGCTAAAGGCTTGGGAGTGGAGGCACCGGCTCTTCCGACGCATGCAGACAGGCTTCGAGCATGCTAGTAAGGCTCGGAAGACGAGCAGTCGTCTTTGGTTTTCTTTTTTTTGCTCCCTTTTTCTCTGCTGGCATTCTGTCTGGGCCGAGTTAATGGCTTCCACACTGAAAAGCCGAGCAAAAGACAGAGTGTGTGTGTGTGTGTGTGTGTGTGTGTGTGTGTGTGTGTGTGTGTGTGTGTGTGTGTGCGTGTGTGTGTGTGTGTGTGTGTGTGTGTGTGTGTGTGCAAACATAACACGCCTGTATTCCTGCTTTAATTCTTTATAGGCTTTTCATGACACGCTTAGTGGCAGGGTAGACAGCCACCCCCGACAGCAGACTCAGTCACACGCACACACTCCTCCCTTCCATCCAAATTTGCACTTTGATGCAAAAAAAGCTCGTTCCCTCCTTGTTATTCTGTGTCAAAATGATGTTTGTGCAGTTACAATCACAATCACTGACATCCTCGCTTCTTCTCAGTTTCGACTGAGTCAACATTCATTTGTGAAGATAGTCTATTCCATTACTGACCTGACGCTTTTTAAAAAACTTTTTCCCATTTCTGAAACTGAGCGATGCCTTGTGCAACAGACCAGGAGGACTAAATTATGTCATTACAGTAAGCTGCCAGTTGCATGGGCTCGCTCCATTCTAATGGTGATAATACACAGTGACGGGTTGTGTGTTTGCTTGTGTTTACCTGCCTGTCTCTCCACTTATTTACTTGCCATAATTCTGTCTGTCTTCCTTCACAGACCCTCCAGACGCACCCAGTGCCGTTCGCCTGTCTGTCAGCAGCAGCACCAGTCTGAGGCTGGACTTCCAGGAACCTGTCTGTGTCAACTCTGCTGTGGTCACCAAGTACAAAGGTCAGCCACCGTGCTCGTCCCACCGCTTCAGATGACAAGCGTATCCTGGAGTCACAAGCATTTTTAATACCAATTTATTTTTTTCTTGCGGTATATATTGAAGTTAATACATATGTTTTGTTTTTGTTTGTGTGTATTTGCAGTGAGCTGGAGCAGTGCTCCTTTATTAAATCCTTTGCTAGGTGAGATGGTGGTGGAGGACACCGCTCTGCTACAGTGCAACATCACTGGACTCACTTCTGTAAGTTCTGCCAGAATCTCTGTCTCCTCTTTATAATTGACGGTCTGAGCTGTTATATTCAGTATGATGATTCCATCTATCCAGAATCCAAAATACAGAAGTAAATCTCTCATAGGTGACGCTGTCAAAAGGTAACACCAGGAGCTGCTGCACTAGAAATACATTAGAGACTTGTTTTGAGGGTTTGGATAGAACATCTATCCACGTTGTTTTATCCTCCCCATGCACATCACGCCGTTTGTGTATGAACCCATTGTCTTGAAAGTCAGATAATCATGTATTATCTGGTAGTTTATGGGTGACACAAGGCTACACAAAGAACCACTAAGCTCTAGCTTTTCCAGCTGTTGGTACTGACTGATTTGAAATTTAGAAGCTATTCATCCCTGATTGTATTGACACGCAAGCTTCGCTCCGGTGACATATGAAGGCATTTCCCAAGTGACTCTTCTTTCATTACAGACATCCAACTCCACACAAGTTTCAGTCACCATCAATCCCAAATGATTGAGGGGGTGGGAGAAAATTGGAAAACACAGTTTATTTGTTATTTGTTGAAAGTCTTGGCTCCTGACCATTCATAAGCAACAGTTGCAAAACAGCCTCCAAGATGATGGAAGGAGCAGCTTGGTAGCCTGCCACCTGATTTATGTTTGGCATTTTTAAGCGGGCGTGTAGACAAATGGACGCTCCACTGGTTGTTTGTTATTGTGTGAGAGAAACCCTTTCCCCCCCTTTAAGACCCCTGCTGCCAGCCAAAGCTCACTCCTGTCACATGACAGGGGTCAAGGCGAGGTCAGGAAGTGTCGGTGGCTGGTTTGATTGATCTGGCTGAGAAAGGAGAGACAGAGGCCTGCTGTCTGCAGACTGGGCACTGAGACAGACAGAGCCATCACACACACACACACTGAAATGACGACAGACAGCGACCTAGCACGAGACAAGCAGATGCACTGACTCATACACATACATGTGTATATGGTGCCTTAACTGTCATGTGTCCTGTCCTTACAGGGGACCTATTACTATGTCCAGGTGTCGGCCTACAACATGAAGGGCTGGGGGCCTCCTCTAGTTTCCATCCCTGCCTGCGCCGCACCTTCCAGTAAGTGTGAACGCACATGTGTGTGTTCATGTATGTGCCGAAGTATCACATAAAGCAATACATAAAAGTTCCGGTCCAAACAAGAGCCCTGAGGGCTTTTGGCTACCTTCACTAAATTAACACCACGGAAAAAAATTGTTTTCACACAGAGCTAAGCTGCAAGATGTGTGTGTGTGTGTGTGTGTGTGCGGGTGTGTGTGTGTGTGTGTGTGTGTGTGAGTGTGTGTGTGTGTGTGATACAATCATTCATAGCTTTCTCACACATAGAGAGACTTTTATCGTTTCACATGATTTGATTTGATGAGTCCAACGTCATTCCGACGTTGCTTTGACATCATTGGGGAGGGACGACAGCTGAACCCTTCAGGGCCAGCAGGCTGGGTTGGTTTTGGGACCCCCTCTGTGGACGTCAGAGTGTGTAACCATAGCCTCAGGATGGCGTTTGGGGCTGGTTGGCAGAAGAAGCTGCCCGGGTTCAGCCAAGAAGTTAACCGTGAAGCCATGTGCAACAACAGCTGAGGTGTTGACTCACCAGAGCAGCTCTGACCCTTTTTTCTTCCTTTCTCTATCTATCTATCTGAGAGCTATCTGTCTGTCTGTCTGTCTGTCTGTCTGTCTCTCTATCTATATTTTAGGTTTCTAACTCTTATTTCTATAAGAGTTTAAAATGTTTTCTTTAGTCATATAGTATAATATAACATTTGCTGATTTGTAAGTAAATTCAATAATTCGTGTGAAGGGATTACTTCAGTGTATTGATTCATGAGCTGAGTTTCGTGATACTGTAGCTGATTGTATGCAGCATGTTGAGTCCGTGCAGTCAGTACCCACCTACTGTAAGAGAGTGAACATAGGTACTGTGAGTGTGTTGGCACACTCAGGGCACATCTGGGGAACACATGAACATGTTTGTCCTCATCAGCACACAGTGTTTTTCAGCAAGTGTATGTGTGTGTGAGTAGGTAGTAGTGTGAGTAGTGTGTGTGTGTGTGTGTGTGTGTGTGTGTGTGTGTGTGTGTGCGTCTTCATTTTAGGAGACTGGGCTTTCCCTCTCTTTTTTTTTCTACTGTCCACCTCCCTCCCTCTCAGAGCTAATTTCGATGTTGCGTGTTTGTGTTTTCCATTTGGGCCTACCACTGGAAATATTTGCATGTCTGTGCTGCAGCACGCGGCGCGGCCCCAACAGTGGGGGCCTTATACCGGGCCGTAGACGCCCATTAAAGGGCCCGCTTGTCCTGTCGGGACAGGCACCTTTCCGGGAATAGAGCTCACCGTGTTTCAGCCCCACGCGCCCTCCGGGGGGCTCCAGGAGAGGGAGTGTGGGGTCGGGGGGGGGGGGGGGGGGGGGGGGGGGGGGGGGGGGGGGGGGGGGGGGCGGGTTATCGCTGACATGTCCTCCAGTGAGCAAGCATGGATGCTGGCTTACTACCACAGTAGGCTGAAGGTGCTGAAGGATCGTTTTTCTGCGGATATGGTGATCTATGAGGAGGGAAAGAGTGTGTGTTTGAGTGTATACGACTGGGACAGAGGAAACACCCAGGAAGAAAAGCACGCAGAGGAATAGAAAGAGATAGTATTACAATAACTGCACTTTCTAAATCTTTTGCTCATAGAAGCATAGCGGGACGTGTGGTGTGTTACTCTCTGTCACTGGGGCAGACACACCATGTTTGTGTGTCTTTCTGCACATGTGTGTGTGTATGTGTGTCCATACTGACTATTCCAGTAGCAGTGGTGCTCAGTAGGTCTGTCTGTCAGCCAACCACAGCCTTCTCGCACGGGGGTGGGTGCTGTTTCCTATAGCACACACACACAAGACCTGTTTGAGAGAAGCAGGCCGTCTCACACACCTCACACTCCTGCTGTTGGAAGCCTCAGGAACAGGGCCAGCCCAAGAATTGTTGGGGTCCCAAGTAGAACTTGATTAACCTCCTCCCAATCCCCAGACTAACCTCACATAGAGTCCCACTGGCGTATGTTATTGCTCCATAGTCCATAGAACTAGGTTCACCTATTTCAAATAAACCAAATACTGTTAATCAAATGTTCCACTGTTAGCACAATCTGCATGTTTCCCTAGCAGCAGCAATGTCCGTAGTAAAAATGTGACAAGGCTGACAAAACAAAAACTAAAGTAAAAGACTAACGGTGGTCAACGTTGGATGTTTCTTTATTCATAGAAGAAGAATCAACTTCCTGATCTACAATCAAAGGAAGACTCTCTGAAAACATGGCTCCACAGCGGAAAATACACAGGGTTCAAAGTACCATTTAGGAGTAATAGAAGTGTCATGATACGTACTGAAGACACCTGATATACCTAAAGACCAAACATACAGCAGGCGCTCCCATTTGTCAGCTCATCTCTGCAAACCCATGTTAATAATGCGGAGCTTCACACTGAGAGTGCATTTTTGCCAATAAAAGCAGTATATGGACACAGGCTCTTACCTTCCACAATAACTGGAATCTCACAATATCACGAGATCCTGCAAGAATTGCAGGATCAGAGATCAAACGAGATCCATAACTGCATTCCGATTGCCTCGTAGTTCCCTAATAAAGGTTATTCAGCCATGTTAAGTAAGTACCACAAACGCTCAGTTCAAAGGGAACCGTGTAGCGAAATACTGGACAAGGTCCAGTCGTCATCCTGTGAGGAGCTGTGGGCGTGTTTTGTGTGTGTGTGACACGACGAGGCGACTGTTTGTTCAATCTAAACAACAATGGTGAAGAGAACCAGAGTATTTATCCATTGAAAGAAGAGTAAAGAAGAACACTGAAGGTTTCTGTTATGGAAAAGATGTTTTTGCTCTTCTCCCCGAGTTTGATTGTCAGATGGTTCTGTGAAACAAACCATCTGGTGTGTCGGGTTAAGGATTCATGCCCCCGGGACCACAAATGTTTGTACAAAATGTTATAACAATTCATCCAATAGTTGTTGAGATATGTTACTCTGGATTAAAGTGGCTGACCGACAGACCGACACTGCCGTCCTGAGCTGTGCTTTGCTTCTCCATCATTAATGCAGAGTATAGCTGACCTGTCCTATGACTGTTGATAAGTATGGAACATCGCAGTGTCGCTCTTCTAATGTCGTGTTTCTCACCTCTGTCTGCAGGTTGGAGGGATATCGATGGCCGCGCTCCACGTCAGAGAGGCCAGAAGGAGGCACTAGACCAGCTACTCGGGCAAATAAAAGAAGCTCACCGCCACTGTGTCTGCCATGGTATCAACAACTTTTTGATCGATTTGGTGGGCGTGTTTTGCTAAAAGGCTGAACAGTAATACGAGAGCTTTAACGTTTTACATAGCTGACCCCGGGTGAAACCCAAACCTTGTAGCGATAGCGACTTGCTGTACTCTGCACATGTGCACGTTATACCACACTAGATGTTTTAAACTGCCATTGGGTTTAACTATGGAATTACGTTCATTAATTTCCTAAGGTAGAACTTGAAAGTACGTGACCTTAAGATCAGTTTTTAGGTCTGGTATCAGCTGGAGTAAAGTCGCTGAATTGAAGAGAAATGCACCCTGAGCGGTGCTATGAGCCCCTGACATAAACCTGGGTCGTTTTCACTGCGCCTGTCACATTTTAAAACAAACACATCGGAATTTTCAGCCACCATCTAGTTCATGTTTCAGAAATATTCTCGGCGTGAACAAACATGAGCAGTGGACGGTTTAACGCGCAGGTGTAACACGTCTCACCAATTGCTGTGTTCCATCTCACCTTGACGGACACTTTACAATCTCAGGCACGACAAGTACTTTGGGGGCCATACACCCTAAGACGGCATGCCACCTCAAAAATAATACCCTCCCCTCTGTCTCAACAACCGCCCCCCACACACACACACACACACCCTTTTACATCTTTCCATGACTCAGCCCTTCCTCTGTTGAATACCTCTCTCTCTCTCTGTGTGACAAAATGCAGATCAACTTCTCTCACACTCAGGCTGTTTATATCCCCAAACACTGCAGGCTGTAAGCTGCTCCCATAAGTGTCAAAAGCTGTCCACACTGACTCTTTTACATGACGGCAAACTGCATTTAGCATTGAGCAAGTTGTCTCTCTTTTTTCTCGCACACCCACATGCCCAAACACACTCACCCACTTACCATTGTCCACTGTGGCCAGACCGTATTTGCAATAGGGCGAGACGCAATATAATAGTCAGTATTGAGTGGCTCTTGGTTCGTCAGACGGCGACTGATTGAGCTTGAGAGTTCAGGCACGGTAGCCAAGGTGGCGTGTCCCGGGGTCATGTTTGTTATTCCTGTAAGAGACGCGTCCCGGGCTGGAGTCGGGAGAGGGCATAAATTAACACTGACTACCGCTGCCTCCCACCTCCACCCCCCACGGCCCGCCAGGCGTCCTGTCTACTCTCCATACATATACACACACATAAAGATAGACAGGCACACACATAGATACACATGTACATGAAGCAGACACAAATATTCGACTACATGCTCTCTCTTTCAGCTCTGACTCTCCCCCACATGTCCATGTACGCACCTCCGTCGCAGCCCCGGCTTATAGCCCACGCCACATTCTCCCTCTTGTCCAAACACTATTAATTAAACTGTGAAAGAGGCCTTGACTAACACAGGCACCCCAGCAGTCAGCCCTACTTGTCTGTCTTACTCAGTGTCAAACACGGTCTGAGGCCAGGAGGACCAGAGCTGAACAGACTCGCGAGTAAAGAGAAAGTTGGGGAGGTGAGAGGGGTCGAGGGGTGCTGTTTTTTCTTGTTGCTCCGACTCGACTCGTCCACCTGAAGGGAAAATTAGTTCTTTTTCGGGTCCTGAATGGGGGGATTTATTGACTTTAAGTGGCCTGGGGCTGGAGTAAGATCACCTGGGAGGGGAGGAGAGGGACTCTGTGAAGGGTTTGGAACTCAGGGTTTCTAATGAGTTGGGAGGTGCGTTATCTCACCAACGGGCGCACACACACACACATGCATATATACACACACGCCTCCCGCTCTCACCTCCAACCCCCTCCAGGCCCACTAAAAATAAACACGTCCCCACAGACTTAACTGACCTCCCTGTCAGTGAGTGGCAAAGGGTTAAAACACACACAGACACACACACACAAATTACTGCAGCTCCTTGGTTCCACTCGTAAGGCTGTAGCTCAAGACATGCCATGGTCTAGCAGCTTTAGTATGTGCAGGTAAACACACACACACATACATATACACAACGTTAGTGTCCCTCTGGGACAGGAGAGCTAGTGGTTCCCTCAAGACCCATAGTCTGCTACTGGCAGCCAGCATGCCAGGCAAATGGTGTCGCGCCACTGGAGCACATGAAACGCCGAAGAACATTCCACTCTGACCGCGTTGTTGGACATGTCAGGTTTGCTGTCAATTAGGCAACGGGCTGTCACTGGAAGAGATGTTTCTCCAGTTTGTCAGGACAGAGGTATTCATTGGTGTTAGCAAGAAAATCAGACAAAGCAATCAGAGTCACGCCACAGATTACTCACAAGAGCGTTGGCTTCAAGCATCAAGCAGGACCATCAGAATATTCATTCAAAAGTAATCCGACTGATTTATTCTGTCTGCTACGGAATTAACAAACGTCTTTTTTTTCTTGTCTGTTTTGTATCGTCCACACAGAACAGTGTAAAGCTCCACCGCAAGGGAGGAAGCACTCGGTATCCAAAAGCCTGCGCCACCTCTTCCAACCCACCAGCAAATTTGTTAAAAGCTTGAAAAGGTAGATGCTCTGTTGACCTCCGTGCTGGAGTCGAGGAGACTTTAAATGTGAAAGGAATTGTAATTAATGTGTGTATTGGAAATGTTGTGTTTAATTTGTCAGTTCACGTATATATATTTTCAAAGAGTACTCATTTTTGAGAGATCACAGTATATCCATTATTCATTGTTAAACATACTACTGACTTCGTGGTGTCATGGTTTTCATGGCAGCAACATACTTTAATGTCATTCCATCACACGTATAACCCCTTTAGACACCAAGGAAAGATAGCAGAAAAGTCTGTCTGCCTTATCACGCGTACCTTTTCTGTGTTCCTTTCCAGAGGTCTCTATCTGACATCCATACTCTACAGAGATGACAATGTGTTGGTGACTCCAGAGGACCAGATTCCTATCGTAGAGGTTGAAGATTCCTACTCCAGCTCCCTTATGCAGGACTTCCTCTGGTTTACCAAGGTAGACAGACAAAAAGAGAGAAAGAAATAACTTATATAAGTACAAAAAAAGTGAATTAACTACCAAACAGGAATTATTTATTGAATACGATTATGCTAAAAAATACTTTTTTTGCACTAATTTACATGGACACATTGCTACAAACATTGTTGCTAGCATATTATTACATTATCCATCAGTTATTGATACTCAACAGGAGATTATAGCTTATGTTTTCCAGTGCATTTGAAATAACGTGTTTTATATATTAATACAATCCATGTGCCAGGTATCCTATCTATGGGAGGAGATTCCCTGGCTGCAGCAGTGTCTTAGTCCTTCCCAGTCATCCTGTTCCTGCACTCTGCAGACACGACTCAAGATGCTGCAGGCTGTCTCCCAACTACAGGTAGTAAAATGCTGAGTAGACTATTGGGACTATGATTGTGCAATTTATATCGTGGTGGTTGTGATAACCGTGACCTCTTGGTCTGAACATTTTTGATTAATACCCTCCGCCCTCTCCTCAGGGAATGCTGGGAACCCAGGACCTTGGTCAGGTGTATTTTGAGCCAATCAAAGACAAGCATGGTAACGCCCTGCTGGTGCTCCTCAAGGACATGAATGCCTGTCCAAACCTGGATGGGGTTCGCTGGACGCAGCTTTGCAAACTGCAGCTCCAACGCAAGTCCATCTCGTCCCCTGAAGAGCCAACCGCCTTGGACATGCTGCTCATCACACTCCACGTGAGTCCTACAGGAGTAGACGGGCAGTGATTGGTAGTTAGTTCAGTTTTGGAAAATGTTTTTGTTTTTGCTTTTGTTTTGGAGACAGGCTGCTTCCACGGCGGTTAGGAACGGTCGGAGGGTTTGTCAGCAGCGGTCATGGTTTTTGTCGGGATCATTCTTTGCATTTGTTTGTGACCCGGAGATTTAGCGAGATGAAACAGTGTAGTGTGAGGCGCTTTGTCAACAACAAAATGACCCCAAAAAACTCTGGAAAACATCAATATGTTGGTATCGCTCTTATGTTTTTAAACTTTCATTCACCAGAACCAGTAAACATGAGGCTCCACGGCTGAAACAATAGGAATGTCAATTGAAATGTGCTTCCAATTACCAGTGCTGCTTGTGCAGACACTCTTTATTTAGACCGACATTAATCATCGTGACTCTCTTCTTCCATTTGTCACCTTCTTTGTAGAGACACGTTGAAATAGCAAATTAATTAAAAGCCAGCTTTCAGGTCAAATGTTGGCTATATGCCAACCCAACATGAATGTCGATCATCTCAGTCACTTTATTTTGAACAGCTGCTCATTCAGGCAGTGGAAATTGGAAGGTTACGTTTGAATTTCAGCACTGACGGACTGACGTGACGATGATAATCTTTGCTCATTGTTGTTTTGTGTTTTGTAGCTAATGCTGTGTGGCTCTTTTGCTCAGAACGATCACAACCTGGAACCAAACCACAAGTTGATTTTGTCTATATAGCCCGGTGAACTTGATACCATTGCTGGAATGCTGTTTTGTCTCCAGTGTACGTTAGTTTGGCCCTGTGGTTTCAAAACAATGGTGGAGACTTCCTTTGGCAAAACCGCAATTCACTGAAATATTTGTTTTGTGGCCAGTTATGAACAAATTGTATGATGAAATACACAAAAATGTGCTGATCGGCTTTTTCTTTTTGCTGTGCTGACTTCCACTTCAAACATGTTGGAACAACGTTAGTCTCTGAAGGACAGCAAAACATGGAAACAAATCCATTCAGATGAATGTGAGGTTGCGTAAAGAGACAAAATTAGATACCACACGATCGACCCCAGTTAACAATACCATACACGTGCTCTTACTCAGTCTCTCTCCACCTGCTGTTCCCAGGAGAAGCTGGCGTATCACAGGCGGAGCAGGAAGATATTGTCTCCAGGCTTATACCTGGGCTACCTGAAGCTGTGTACGTCGGTGGAGCAGATCAGAGCGCTGGTGCCCCAGAAACTCCCCAACGTCCTCTGTCACACCAAAATTCGGGACAACGGCAACGTGTCCAGGTGGGGAACATATGTCTGTGTATGTTTTTCTGTACGACTGAGACTGAAAGTTAAGAGTTTTGACTAGAAACCTGACCATTCAGGCAAAAGCAATGACAAAAGATACCCGTGATGTGGATTAATGGCATGTTCTTCATGTGTGTCATTTTCAGAGAGGAGTGGCAGTGGCTGCAGGCTCTCACCTCTCTGGATGAGGCATTGGAAATGGACATGGACGAGCAGAGTGCTCCACATCGCCTCCTACAGGACCTGCGCAGCGCCATCATAGACCTGATGGCTCACATCAATGTCCTCGGCAATCAGGTCCAGAGTCGATCTGAAACACGTTGTGTCTTTGGCCATAAGCATACAATTCCACAGTGACATTTGAAGCCATTTCTTTACCAAATGGAAAAACAAATGGTATTTTGCATTGTCTTGAAACTCGATAGAAAGATATCCAGCCAAGTTCCAGCGGCAGTGAACATGATTCCAGTGGATATTCAGCCAGTTCTGGTTAGACCACTAATTCTACATGATTTCAGTAAAAGAACATGGTTTGAATTCCAGCACAATGGCAATCATTGTCCATTGACCTTTTACCACCCACTGTACCAAGCACTGCACAGACCTTAAGAGACTGCTACGACTGCACCATTAAAACCTACACGATCATGAACATGAACATACATATAGAAATAGATATAGATATATGTAGACAATCATCACAATGTAGAGCTAAAACCTGTGTTTGTTTCCAGAGGAGACACAAATGTTAAAAAAGGTTTAGAAACAACAAATATGGGTTTGGCAGTAAGATAGTTTTGCTCTTGACCTGCTCCACAAAAGAGCCCAACAGTGTATTAGTGGTGTACAATAACCCCTAATTACAACAAACCATCCGGTCGCCATATTTCGTACTTCTGGTTTCCACTGTTGGAGTTTGAGCCTCCGGTTCTGTTTTCAAGATATTTAAATGAGTGAAGAATGTACTTCATGGTGGCTTAGCGGCCTGTGATCCAAACCCTGGAACTGTGACTTCCGTCCTTTGAGTGCAACCAGGGACCGACCCTTTACTTCTAGACTTCCTTAAATTGATTCCTCTGGTTCCAAAGCCCCCCTGAGATCACCTGTCTCTGTGTGTCTAGATGCAGGACTTCCGTATCTATAGCCAGGAAGTGGTGGAGTTTGGGGAGAAAGTGTCCTTCCTGCTTCTCCTCCCACCTTCAGATGAAGTGTGCACAGCTCCTGGCCAGAACAACCCCTACTCCCCCCGTTCTGGCTTCCTCACCCTGCCCCTGCAGGTCTTTGAACTGGGTCAGTATATCAGATGTTTGGCAGAAATGTGAATTCTGACACCAACTGCTGTTTTCACATCTATATGCTCCACCTGTGTTTAATGGCCCAGTGTTTTACATTTATTTCTCCTTGTTGGATTCCCTTTCTCCCACAGTCCACTTTAATGCCTATTGCCCCAGTTTCATTGGCCAGTACTGCAGAGTATCGGCTTTGCTGGAACTGGAGTCCCTCATGTCCCAGCAGGCCCTAAGGGAGGCCTTTTCTGAGACTGAGCTCCTGGCTGCTAAGAAGAAACACCAGCAGGTCCAGGACCACATACAGGTAACATAACACACATATATATATATACATATATATGTGGAATAAAATGAATCCAATGATAAATTGTATTGTTACTGAGAGCAACTATTATGATCTTGTTAACTGTACAACAGCAAATGGAGGAGGTGTGGCGTGACGCGAGGTGGATCATGGACGCCCTGCAGTATGCCCGCTACAAGCAGCCATCAGGAGGCATCTCCATAAGCTGGATAATTGACTTCTCCAAGGAAGTGTTGCCCGACAAGCCTCCATCCACCTCCTCTCAGCCAGACTTCATGCCCTCGCCCATGCCTTCACCCGAACCCTGCCGCAAGCACTCAGGTCTGAATCGACTCTTGCAACAGAAACATGGAGGTTATATGACACCGTTATCCATGTAGGATTCCACATGCAACTTCCTGCACACACTATCAATACAGTATAAGTACGAGCACCTTTTCTCACATTCTGCAGATTTTGCCGGACTGTCAGACGAAGAGGGCTCCTCTGAAGTCTTCCTCACCACCGACAGTGACTACGACTCCAGCCGAGCCCAGAGTCCCCGCGAGCTGGACCTGTTGCCCCCCTCACCCCTCTCATCTTCTGCGCCTCTGGAGACCCGCGGCTTCCTGCGTAGTGACGGGAGCAGCTCTGAAAGAGGGATGTGTCTCGGCGGGGGTGGACGCGTAACGGGGTCGCTGAGGGACTCCACGCCAGATGTCCTCCAGGCCTCGGAGCCACAGCACGGGAGGGAAGGTGAGCGGTGTGGCGGAGGGGTTCGGTGTGGCGTGGAAAGGCGGAGGGGGGGCCCGGAGCTTTTTGACAGTGACTTCATCCTGCCCAGCAGGCAGATCGAGCTGCTGCACATCACAGAGAAGAGACAGGCCTTCTGTGTGAGAACCAGCAGCCTGGAGTTCCCTTCCACCACCTCAGCCCACCAGCCTTACTCCTACCACACTACCTGCCCCTCGCCGTCCACCTCGCCACAGCGGAGATGCCACAGGCCCTCGTCAGTGGACCGCTGTTGCTCGGCTGAGCGCTGCCTGCCGCAACTTCCGCCGGCGCGTACTTTGTCAGAGGACAGCGGCACACAGAAACTCTCCTCGCAATCACCCGCCGCCCTCAGGAAAGGCTGTCATGGCACACTCAGAGTGTACCCACAGTATCGCACAGGCCTGCCTAAGGAGACCAGTGTTAAGGTATAGATGCGTTTTGACACGTGGAAGCAGTTCACCTATAAACTGTTGTTGATTTTGTGACAATAGTCTAATCTTCTCCTTCTGTGTTTTCAGCTTTGTGTAACTCCAGGAACATCAGCGCGGGAGATGATCCAGCTGGTGGTGCAGGAGATGAACGTCGTGTCACGGCGGATGCTCGGCAGCAGCGGAGGCGGTGGTGAGCAGGAGCAGTGTGTGTACTACGGTTCTGAACAGTTGAAGCACTTTGGCCTCGTGCTAGTTGTGGACAACAGAGAAAAGTGGCTTCAGGATGATTTCTGTCCGCTGGAGCTCCAGAACCCCTGGCTCAGGGGCAAACTGTGCGTTCGCATTAAGGAGTATTCACCACTAGCGCTCAAACACAGCCGGGCCACCACAGTGTGACACGTCCACAAGAGAAAAGAGTTCATGCCAGATTCTTTTTGGATAAATGTGTATGGAACTGTTACATTTGTAAAAACAGGCTCCTAAACTCTATTTTCTCTCCAACTGTGGTGTTACCCTCAACTAATGCAGCTCTAACATGTCTATTTCCTGCTGTGCTCTGTTTCCATGAAATGTGTTCCCCCGGTTCGTTGGACCTTTTTTTTTTTTTTTCTATCAACATCAGAGACCCCCATACGGACACCAAAATGAACAAAGTGGAACAATGAGGAAAATAAGTTTTTGTTGCTGTCAGAAATCACTTGTGGAATCGTGATGCTGAGCGAGATTAATGGAGCGTCACTTTGACTTCTGGCACGGTTGACGGCACCTTGGGCCGTGCTCGTTGCCAAAACGACATGGGCAGCTTCATCCTAACCAGCCACACGCGGGCACGGCTTTTGCTATGAACTCTCTCATTGTGCCGTTCCCAAAGAGCTGTCGGCTGCAGCCGCCCGGCCCCCATGTTCTCCAGGATGTGGGCTCTGGACCTGACCCAGAGGCCAGGAAGGAAGGGAGAAGTACAGAGGGGGGGGCGCTTGAGGATGCAATCGGCCTGACGATTTGGCCCGTCAGCTTGCCACTCAACTGCTCTTGGCCACTGTACTCGCTGGTAGCGAAGCAGCCAAGTAAGGGAGAGAGAGCTTGATAGACCATGAGAGCGAGAGAGGAGGTGGAGGAAGACGAAGGTTTCATCTTTCAGAACCTGGCACTGGTTCTCAGGTGCTCTTTTTTTCTCCCTGGCACAGCAGTAAAATCTCTGTATAGTAGACTCAGTCGTAGTGTAGCGAACAAATACTCATGTTGTGAAGTAACACAAAATAAAACCAGCTAATTTGGGATTTTCACAACAGAGGAAACACAAGCAATACTTGAGTTTTGTTTTTCTAATAGATGGGGAAAAAAAGCATGTTAACCTTCCAGAATTGTGCTGAGTTCCTCTTAAGTACTGTAGTCCATGCTGTGCTAAAAGTTAACCAGTTCAGTGTTTTGTTGTGTTTGGTTCAGTGGTATTCCCAGATGCATCAGAGAAATGGTGCCCACCAGTCTAGAGCAGGGTCTCCCAGAGGGACTCTACTGTGAAAGGGATGACTCGAGTTGTTAAGAGGCTGGTGCTTGTTAGCAGAGTAACATATCGTACATTCCAGACTTCAAATTAAGTTATATATATGCAAGGAAAATACATTTCAACCCATGAACAAGCCGCTACGCCCTGCAGTGCGTGTGACCAACGGAGAATATAACGGCAAAATGTCAGATGTAAAAACAATGATCATGAGAGAAACTTCAGACGCACACACAGCCGGGTGTTTTAATTGTGATGGGATTCTATCTATCATGAACATTCATTCATACAGAATTTGTAGTTAATCAGATTTAATCTAAGGAGCCCGTCAATCAACAAAACATCAATAAACATTTGTTTTTATTATTTTAGAATGTAATCTTATCCAACAACATTGTCAAACCCAGTCAGTGTGGCCTATTAGAAAGCATTGCAATAGCTCACACTGCCAAAAGCAGTGCTAGCTTCTCTACCCTGATGGTAGCCTTGCAAGGCTCAGCGCTGAGTCAACAGCCTCTAGTATGTGGATTACGTCCATTACCAGAACACTGATGCACGTATTGTATGTTTTGGAATGAATAGCATTGATTCTAACCACACAATAAATAAGGCCTCTTAACAGTCTAAACCATCCTTTTTTGCTACTGTTTGGAAACCAGGTTTTGATTTCTCTGTTCACACTATACAGTCTGTGAAACCTCACAACTTTACTTTGGAAACAGAACAGTCTGCATTTTTTTGACATCACTCTCCACATCTCAAACTGCAGGCTGTTTTGTTGTGTCTTTGTTTTTGCTCCCAACTATCTTTCAGCATACGATTAACATTTCTTTTTTTTTTTTTTAACCACTATAAAACGTCAACACAGGCTCAGCAACATCATGCCGTTATAATAACCTGCAGCATTTCCAAATGTAGCACCAGAAAGGTCCAAAAGAGGAGAGATTGACGGGTGAAGTCCGTGGACCTGGCCTCAGTTATTGTAGCGTTTCAGGTTCCCAGCATGTTGTCGAACCTGTCGCAGCCAGAGTTAACAGAGTTTAATTTCCTTCCACTTTCAAAGATGTGTTTACGTGCAACTACTGTATAAAGATGTCTTAAGACAAGCTGATGTTATAAGTTGTAAATGGTTTTACTAATGGCTCGAACTGTTGTGTTAGCGCTTAGATGTCTTCTTTATTCGCATTGTTAAAAGCAGTTTTTACGAGGGCCATCTGCAAAAACAAATCACACAACCAGAAACTGAACCGTGTACATAGACGACCAAGACCAGGGGATGAATGTACTGTATCTGCCCTAAATGTGAAAGTAAGTGAATGTGGGACTGTCATCACTGCTGAGGTCAAAGGTCAGTGAAGTTATAGGCAGGAGTCTGTCTTTAGATTAAGCTAAAGGGGAAGAGGGGGGGGGGGTTATATTCCCTTTCCACTTGAAGAATAAAGTAAAGCCCCGTGTTTACAAGGAGCTGTTGGCAGAGCCATCGGGCGAAGTCATGAAGGAGACATCACGTCACTTTTTTTAAATCTATTTTTATTGAACAATAAATGAATATTACAAAATAAAAGCCATGGTTGTTTATGAGGGTTTTCTTCTCTTTTAACAGATCGCCGCACACGAGTGTAGGAAGTTTCTGACCTTCATGTGAGTCCCACTGAGCAATAACAACATCTTTTATGTGATACTGACCTTTTTACACTTCCTGTTTGAGAGATATAGTCCATGCATGAACTACATTGTCTTAGGTCCAGAGCTGAACATTTCCCTGGGATTCATGATATATTTTGGCACACCTCTTCCGCCATAAGGATCATAACAAGCTTATATTTCGAGTGTGCGCAGACCAGATTCTCTTTGGGGCTTATTCTTTTCGTTTGGAGTTTCATCCACATGTATGACACACACCAAAAAGCTGCCTGTTCATCTTGATACGAATGACAGTAAATGACAAATAGAGGGCACTTGTTCCTGCAGATGCTATACTGCAATGACATCATCAGTGTTAGCCCAGTTGATGAAAACTGAAGGGTGGGCAGCTGCAGACAGAATCGCACAGTATAAGTGGTGGGCAAGGCCACATGAAGCCTGCAGCGCGATACTCGCCAAGGGATGAACAATGATGTTACTATTGCCTATGTTGATGGAGTGTTTGTTTTTGTAACAGGTTTGAATGGAGTTTAGGTTTGGCATTAGGAAAATACTTGACATAATGACATCTCCTCCACCAGTTTCAGGGTGCATTACGTCAGCTTTACATTCTCAATGCAGCACTGTAGAGATGAGATATGCATGCTTGTAGAAGTACATTCAACATAAAAATAAGATATAGATGCCTTCTTTTTTTATAAGATATTGAAGTATAGTTTTACAATGAGAAAAAGAAATGCTCAGGTCCTCTATCAGATGAATTATATATTTTTGTCAGAACTACATTAACTTAAAAGATATTCCAGATGTTTAACTTCATGGAATCCAAGGCCTCCGTCCACACTGAGAGAACACTTTATTTTGAAAGTTTTACCTCTGACTAACCCTGTATTTGATGTCACAGTGTCCTGTAGTACACCTGTGCATCACTGCAGCAAAGCCAGATGTTGAACCCGCAATGTTAGAATTCATTAACATAAATATCTTGCTCATACTTTTAATTTTAGAGTTTACATATTTACTGTTGCTCACTGGTACAAAGAAATATGACCTTTTTTTAGAATTAAAAGTAATGGAACTAAAAATATCTGCGTTTTTGCATCATGCATAAATACATGCATAAACATCAACACGCTTTATGTTGCCAGCTCTGTTATTACACGGTTTGAGTTTATGTTTCGTTGAGTCGTGATCCCAGGGCTGCAATCCGGCTGGGCCAGGTTGCTTTCAGCAGGCTCATATCACGCCGCTCCCGAGCTAGCGCCATGTGTTTTTTCAGCCCTTGAGCAAATAAAATGCTGCATGCTTCCCTGTCAACAGATCCTACAAACACTAATGTGCAGATGGACGCACAAACACACATTGGTGCACACAAGCGACATGCACTCAGGAATCCTGATATTTAGATGTGCAAATGCACATGTATACCATGTAGAGGATTTACACTTTTGCACTATATCGAGACAAATTCACACACACACACACACACACACACACACACTCCCAAGCAACTTATCACACACAAACACACAAATCATGCCAAAAGGCATCCTTGCCAACACACTACGCCTTTAAGAGCAGCCCTTTACCGTTTATTGACAGTAACTTAAGAATTGTACTGGAATTCTGACACCTCCTAATTTTAAACCTTCTGACTCCAGGAGGACCCGAGCTAAATATAAACCCTGGCACACAACTGAATAGCTAAAAAGAAAACATTCCCAAAAGGCCCTGAATAGTGGCTATTCATGCACTTAAAAGAAATTCAAAGTGGAGTGTGCAAGCGCAGCGACTTGTGACTCATCAAAATATCTGCAGCGACAAAGGGAAGTCGCGCATCTCGGAGATTCACTCGATAGGGGATTTCGTCAGCACCTCCCCTGGCCGTGAAGCAGGAGGCCGTTAACGGAAGGAGTCACTGCTGGGTGCGTATGAGCCTGTGCTCCAGTTTGTGTTTTGATAAACCGATCCGCCTGCAAAACAGCAACCAATGCATCGTGAAAGTGAGAAAGCTTCAGGCTCTAATCCCCCTCCGGCTCAGGGTGCCCCACCTCCGCGCTCTTCAACTTGACCCTTCATGAGTTCGTTTAGGATTATGGGCCAAAGGGTGGCCTTGGCTAGATAACCTTACAGACACACACACACACACACACACACACACACACACCAAACACACACACACACACACACACACACACACACACACACACCTTCTAGCCTACATGAATCAGAAAAGGGCACACTTACCCAATGTGTACAGCTGTCTTGTATAGATGTATGCCTAAACAAGTGACTGGATGCAGACATGTATTCAAGGAAAATGACATGTGCTGATCAACCAAACGCACACTTTTCTCATATGCTTAAACCCCACACTTTGCAGAAGTTAGTGACAATATGAGAGGCTTTGACAGCCACAGTGACATCCCTCTTTCCTCTTCTTCTTTTTACATTTCTGCACCAACCGATCTGCTGTTTCCCTATCATCCCTAAGCCCCTCATATCCAGCACCACCCCCCGCCCGCGCCCTGCCCACCCTACCACCAGCCTGATCTCAGCCTGGCACATACTGGCGGATTAGCAGCACACATGCCGGCGTACACATACATGTGTTTGTTTCTGTATGTGTGTGTGTGTGTGTGTGTGTGTGTACAGTGGGTGGGAAAATTGAAGCCTGCCACTACTGAATCACTCATTTCTCATTCTCTCTCTCTCGCTCCCTCCCCAGGGCCCATAAACCTTTAAAGCACCTATAAAACACTTGGCGAGGCCTTTTTGAAGTTTTTATGAAGATCTGGCTTTATTGTTCCCAAGAGATGAGCCCCGCTCCGCTGGCGCCTCGGAGCTTTCTGGAAGTGCCAGTGAATTCAGGAGGGGGGGCAGTGTGGTAGCAGAGGAGGGAGTCCCAGGAAGGGAGGGGTTGGCACTGTGGAGCCTGCGTTATTATGCCCCCCTGTGCATGTGCGTGTAGGGTGTGGTGCATTTGTGTGTGTGTGTACATGCATGTAAGTGTGTGTCAGGGTGGCAGATGATCTGCAGATGCAATGTGAGCAGCAACAGTGACATCTTTATCTTTGGGTGTTGAGTTTAAGTCCTTGGATTTAAGACGCATCAAATCAAATTCAAGTTCAGAAAGTTCTAATAAAAGCACACGTGTTCGAGCACAAGCATGCGTGTGCTGTAGCATGTGTGTGTCTGCATATATTGCCTGCGTATGCGTACGCAGACGATGGGGCCAGCAGGTTGCGTCCTTGTTGTTTGAAGTGGGGCTCTGTTGTTCTCATAGAGCTAAATGAATGGAGCCGGACCCCCCTCCATCTGTCTGATCCAGCGGCACCGGCCTTCCCTCCCAAATCCCGGCTCTGACGCCCGACGCACCACCCCCCCCCCCCTCAAAGGAACAGTTGGCAAACGAACGGCCCATTAAACAGGCGAGGGCGACGAGCCCTCACCTCTAAGCAACACTTGTAAGAGTAGAGGGAGAGTGTGTGACACAGGCGAAGAGAGAGAGAGAGAGAGACAGAGCAAGAGAGAGGGATGAAGGAGATAAAAGTAATCAAGAAATGTGGAACTCGTGTACATTGTATGTGTGAATGTGTTTGTAAAATGCAAAACCTAAAACTGCTTCGTGTGTGAGTGCAGATTTGCCCGTGTGTGTGTGTGTGTGTGTGTGTGAGTGTTGGGAGTGGCAGTTACAACTCAGTGGCCATGACATTAGCCATGCTGGTAGCTTTGACTGTGCCTTTACCCTCCATAACCCCCATTGTCACAAAGGTGTGTATTTCTAATCAAGGCTGACAGGAAAATATCTTATTCTCTCACCCGTCATCTGACTCTCATTTCATTTCTTGCTTGAGTAGAAGGTGGTGAATTGGATCTGATCAGCAAGAGTTGATGCAATGTTTCTACTGGGAACATACATGTGTTTGGTACCTCCTGTCACCAAAACAGGGCCACCTAGAATAGAAAGCGGTCACATCTTGATGTAAGACTTCTCCTGTTGGAGGTCAAAGAAAAAGCAATTCGTCCAACGTTGTTGTAGAGAGTAACTGCAACCCCAGATGCTTCCCGGTTCAACCGCTTCCACAGTTATGAATCACACTGATTTGTTTGAAAGTGCTCCAAACTTCCCTCACCCACCCTGTGTTGAGAATGCCGGGGAAAACAACAGCTTGGGTCTCCAGTGAAAGTTGGGTGCATGCAGAGGAGCCAGTGGGTTGGTCCCGAAGAGAGCCAACACTGGTGCCAAAACAATATCTAAGAAGCGGCCAGAGAAGAGAGAAGGAAGGACCAGCCGAGGGTATTTTTGTGTAGTTTCAGAATCCCGCGCCTGGTGAAGAACCTGAGAGCAATTAATTTTCTTTCACCAGACATTTCGGATCAAATCCATGTTAGTCATTGACATAAAAGGAAGGAGAAAAACACCAGCTCGGCTTGACGTGTGTGTGTGTGTGTGTGTGTGTGTGTGTGTGTCTGTGTGTGTGGACGTGGACGATTCAGGTACCTCAGAATAAAAGGATGAAATGTTCAGAAATGCAAAAAGGAGGCCAGATTGCTAGTTTGAGTCAGATGGGGGGGGGTTCAGACAAATGCTGTGACCGATGGGCTTGTACCCTACACACACAACCACACACACATTCACACATACATCCATATTAACCCCAGCTCCAGCCCCCTTTGTGCAAAGGATGATGTCATGCCTTCTGAAAACATGTGGGGGGGCGGCGTCGGGGGGTTTAGGGGGGGGGATTCCTTTGGTCCTTTCAAGTTTGCAGGGGGAGCCTTGGGCCACGGCAGGGTAGACAGTACGAGGGCAGGAGGCTCAACGCTGCCACCCCCCCCACCCCACCCCACCCCACCCCAGCAAGCAGTCACATTAGGCACGCTCCAGCCACGCCATCAAAGGCCCAAGCTCACAGC